CAGTTGACAATTCCCAAAAGCATGCAAGATTCCCTCTCCTTCACACTTCGTTTAGTGCCCATGCAATCTTTTGATTCATAGTTCTTGTATCCTCTCAGGTACCTATATCCTCTGCTAAAGCACAAACCATGTGCTGAACAGACTCTTCAGGCACCACTTTTGCAACAACCACATTTCAGAGAGAAGGTTCATCTAGCTGCATGACACTGAGACAGCACTGAGGCAGTTAATTTGCAAAGAAAGAATTTCTCCTGGCTTGCATTGTTATCTCAACACTCCCCAAATTCCTCAGACTGAAGAAGCAAACACACAGAAGGAACCCCTGCCGCCCCAAGAAAGCATTCTTCATCAGAGTAGCAAGTTCACTTTAATCAGTGGAGGCAGCTTAAACCCAAGTTCATGGCAGATCTAAGCTGCCACAGAAATGTGTTTTGAAGAGAAACATTATGGGAAGCTTCACAAAGTTGTTCTGTGATCCTAATATGAAGTAATAAGCTGTTTACCCAGCATGACTGTACTGGGATTAATTGACAAAGGAGGGGAGATTAATTGCTATTATTTCCGTGTCAGCTTCACTCCTCCACACGCACTCGCTGCTCTCACAGGCTGCTCCCAGCCCTTTGCTGTGTTCATGTGTCAGAACTACCTCAGCTGAGACAAAGTCCTTTACCAAAAGTAATATCCAGAAGAGCAACCTGCTTCTAATCCCCTTCAAGTACTAATGAACCCAAATTTGATGCAACAGAATGAACTCTAGCACTCCTTTGCCCATCAGTCCATGTTTCTGTCAGCTTTTCTGCCCATGAGCACGTTAAGAATTGGAGAGGATTAAACAGATCTGCAGCTTGGCAAAGCACAATGAAATTCTGAGCTCTGTGAGGGTGCTGGGGCTCTGCAGGAGGAAAAGAGAACAGGGCACAGATGAGAGTGGGAATTCTGACAAGAAGGATAAACTTTAAACCATCTCTTTGGACAAGATCTCAGTTCAGAGCACAGCATTGTAACTGCCCGAGAAAGCAGCGATAACGAGCTTAGATAAAAGCTGATTTTCAAAGGCCTCATCTACAAAAGCAAATTTTTCTTGATTTGGCCTAAATTAACAAATAAGATAGGCCAGAAAACCCCACAAATAATTCACCCCAGTTACACAAGATGTTAACTAGAAGCTGTTTTTACATACAGGGAATGAAAGTAATAGGACTTCCCAGGAAGGAGCTGGGCAGAATTAAACCAACACAGCTCAACCACTGCAACCACAGAAGGAAAACAGAAAATTTTCCCATGCCATACAGGCCTGAGAGAGTCTCTGGAATGTTGTTACCTGCTACTGCAAGTTAAGGGACAGGGTTTTCTTCTGGCTTCAAATGTTTCTTTTTCCCACGAGATGGCAGCCTGGTAACACTACGGAGAAGTTACCCTCATCTCAAATCCAGAAATCCAGGATCGTGCTGGGAGTAGTTATAAACTACTCTGGTGTTAAATTACCCAACACAGGCCCAATTTAAAGATGAAGACTGAGAACGAATGTTTTAAAGAAAGATGAGGTTTAGTACCAGTTAGCAGAAGACCTTCCCAACAGGGCTGACATTCACCATCTCCCAGATTCTGCAGCAAACTGAACCCTTAGGGTCAGGCAGGGCATTTGGGGAAGAATCCAGACTCCTCATTCCCTTGTAAACAGAGCAGGCTTCCTTTGCTCATGTCACAAAGACCTTTTGACCTCCTAACATAGCAGATCACTGCTTTCAGCCAAAACTGGCTGGCTCTTATCATCCCAGGGTGTTAGTGAATGGAGATGTTTTACAGATGCTTACCTGCTGGTGAGCCAGTCTGTTACAGCCAGTACAATCTGTGACAACTACAACGTTAAACATCCCTTCTTTTATTTAAAGGCTGGTTTTCTATATATTTCCTAGATGCATAACCCTCATATAAACCCTCACAGTTCTCCCAGGTAACATTTCACTCCAGGATACAGATGCTCTCTGTAGACTCTATGCAGTTGATCTTATGTCTCCAGATTTAGTTCATGGCCTATCACCTTACTTGCCCACACTCACACACCTTTCCTGTGGCATTTGAGCCCTGAACTGCAGACATCCTGCTGCACACTCCCAGTCCAGCTCAGTCTTGCCCTCTCATCCTGGAATCCTGCAGCCAGGGAGCAGTGCAGCAGCTCAGCATTAGCCAGGCAGAAGGATGTGATTGCAGCCACCCCTTTCCCAGGTTACCTGAATAACCAGGCAGGCAGTGACAGAGGAAGCCATTGACCAGGTCCTGGCAGAGCCCTCCGTTCTGGCAGGGCTGTGACTCACACTCATCAATGTTGGTAAAGCAGGTGTCCCCTGGAAAGAGAAAACACAAACACACAACTGAAGTGCACTTGTGCAACAGTGAAACAAAAATGACAACTGCAGTCATAAGTTTTGTATTTCTTTTCTTTCACCTAAAAATGCAAAAGAATTCCTTGAAGTCTAGCATGTCTCTGCAGGCACTGGCACACAAACAACGGGGGCAAATGAAGTATGAAATTATTTTCCAGTGTCAAACACTGGCAAGATCAGAACTTCTGAACCATTCCCATCTGTGCAATAGTGGACTACTCGTATTTCTCTCATAAAATAATACAGTATTACTGTTTATATCTTCCCACTAGGGAATATCCCCAGGTGTTAAATCCAGCATATCTCCAATCCATGGAAAGGGTGATATTTCAGTGGAACATCCACAGAGCTTCTAGCTCCAAGAGCTCCATACCAAGAAACTCCTCTTGTCCCTAATCCCACTCTGATTTTACAGTTGCTGCCACGAGAGTAGTCTCACCAAGGAAACACCTAGAATAGTAATCTGTGACTCCAGGGAATTAGCTTCCTCTGATGAGGAATTTCAGAGATCTCCCTAGGGATGAATCCTGCCATATGCATGAGAGACTGACAAAGGGACAACACCCTGGCACCTGCATAGCCAGAGGCCATTGATGGCAGCACGGGGAAGTGCACAGGCTGTTGCCTCAGCCTGGAGACAGGCTTGGACAGGGAATGACATTCAGCTGTCTGCAATGGGAGCAGAAGCACATTCCTGACACATCAGGCTGCCAGCCCCTCTGAAGTAGCTGTCCTGAAGAGATTTCTGTTGCAGAGATAGCACTGCTCCATTCCCACCTCCTCCAATAGCAGCAGCACCAACGCAGACAGGATGGGCACCTGCTGTCAGCTCACCTGTGAAGCCTGGCTGGCACTGGCACAGGAACCCGGCTGCTTGGCTGTAGCTGAAGTTGCTGGGGAAGTGGGGCTGTGTCCCGTAGTGGGCTGGGTTGGAGCGCTCCAGGCACAGGCCCCCGTTGTGACAGGGCTCTGTCACACACTCATCCACATCCTCCTCACAGTCCTGCCCGGTGTAACCTGCAGTGAGACACTGCTGTCAGCATCCTGCACAATTCACTGCAGCTCAGCTCCTAAATGCTGTGGCTGACTCAAAGGAGGGAATAACACTCTCAAATCTGCAGCTCATCTAGCAGGGAGTCCCCAGGCCCTTTACTTTCTCCACTATGTCAAATACAGGAGCCCAAATCGTCAATTTGCAGGAAAGCATCACCTCATGATAGAGGAGCTCATAATGGAAAATGGCAGAAAATAACGAAAACTTTATGATTGAGAATCAATCAGGGTGATTTTTGCAGGTCAGTTACGTTTTGGGATGACCTGTAAAGGGCAGCAGTGCAGCCTCACTGCTCCAGACAATGAAAACTCACATAGGGCCATGCAGTATGGTCATGAATTCTCTACTTTCACACAGCAATCAAGCACATGCTGTCCATGGCCATGTGCCCAAAACCACAGAGAGCCCCCAGCCCACCTGGCCAGCAGGCACAGCTGTAGCCCTTGATTCCCTCCAGGCACGTGGCATTGTTGTGGCAGGGGTCAGAGGCACACTCCAGGATGTCCAGCTCACAGTGGGTCCCCTCGAAGCCAGTGTCACTGCAGTCACAACGGTAGCTGTGGGCACCAAACACAGCAGGGCATCAGCTCTGCCTTGGGCAGCAAAGCCCTGGGTGAGGAACAGGCAAAGAGCTCAGCTGTCAGGGCTCACACCTTACCCGTGGAAAGGTAAATTCAGACACACAGATGTTCTCAGCAGCTGCCTGTGCTGTTCATGCTCTGCAAACCACTTTTCTTGTTTGTTCCTCCCTTCCTTTAAGCACCCCTGGAGTTCTGCTGCTGGGGGATTCTCCCTTATTCCCACAAATCATTCTTACTGCCACTCAATGTACAAAACACTAACTCCAATTCCCCCCACAGCTTTGTACTTTGATTTTCACAGCCTGCACTGAGTAGCCCTTCAGATCAGTCCTGGTGTTTAATTGCCCCCCACCACTGGTTTCTCACCTGTTAATGAGGTCATGACATGTCCCATTGCTCTGGCATGGCTGGCTCTCACATTCATTGATGTCCACCTCGCACTGGGCTCCTTGATAACCTGGTACACAGGTGCAGGTGTAGAACCCAACGTGATCATTGCACAGAGCCCCATTCTGGCAAGGGTCTGAAGCACATTCATCTATTTCAGTATCACAGTTCACACCTTGGTTAAAAAACAAAAATATCTGTGTTACAAACCCACAGAAGTGCATATGTGCTGCCTAGAATTCTGAGATGAAATCACAAGAGTCATCTTGTTCTGTCATCAGTTATCAACCCCAGCTGGCTACCAGAGTGATCTCTACCTGCTTTTCCAAAAATAAATTCCACTTATTTCAATTGTTTATAACTTGCTTTGTGATACCCAGGAAAAAAGCACTAAAGTACTGCAAAACACTACAGTGATACCTGATGTTAGGAAGTGATTTCATTGGGAACTGCTATTGAAAATACAAGGTTAGCTCCACTCCTGGTCACAGCCAGTAACATCTGTTTGGTACAAAGTCCCATCCTCCCTGATGGAACAAGATCTCATGAAAGATTTCGATGCAATTATCTTATCTATATTGCACCCCTCTGAGCTGCCTGTGGCCTGGCATCACCTCCAAACCTTACTCATTACAGTGGCACCTATCAATCCATCTAATCTGCCCTCCTTGGCGAAGGCTCCCCTCAGAGTGGGCATGGCCACCCTAATCCTGGCGGAATGTGGGCCCCCTAATCTGGCTCAAACCCCTCAATACCCACACAAAACTTCCTTCACCCAAATTCCAGCTGCAAGCACCAGGAAACAACCTGGCCTTGCCAGCCAATGGTGCTCAAACCTCTGGATGAAGAACTAAATCCCAAGGCCAAGCCTCATGTTTGACATAGAACAACTTGAAGCACACCAAACTCCTCCAGCTGCCTGGGTCACTTTATCACTCCTTTGGCAGGGAATCCCACAATCCTGAATTGAGGATTCAGCATAAAGATAAAAAAAGAAACTGATTTGCAAAGACAGAATTATGCTTGATACTCAAAATCACCAGTAACCTTAGGGCCTACATAGAGATTTCTGTCTTGTTTCTCCTTCATCTCTCTTCATTTTTATCAGAGAGTGAGTCAGCATCAGGGGCTACATTCCTGATGTTGTAACTTCTCATTCCACTGGTAATCAGCAGCATTCTTCCACAGCAACCCAACTCCTTAAACACTTCAGTCTGTGAACAGGAGGAAGGCTGAGAAAGTTCATGTGCGAGGTGGTACCAGGCAGACATGGACACATTCCACCCCACTGCACTCAGATAAGCAGGGCTGGGGGAAGGAGAGCCCCCCACTGCCTCCCTCACAGATAACTCACAGGTGTGGATTCCTCTCTCAGTCACCATTAGCACAGATGCACAAAAGAGAAACATTTAAATCATATGCCAAATAAACATTTGCCAGGCATGAAAGAACTGGAAATCTCCAGCTAAAAGACACTTTTTTCCAAAAGACAAGTACTTCCCTTGGAAAAATCCAGCTGGATAGGACAAAGAACTACAGGCCAGGTTGGCAGAGCTAAGTTATACCTGGAAACACTAAGTATCCATTTCCTGAAGATAAATATCTTTTCATGTTATGTCCCTTAATTTCATGCTGAGAACTAATCCCAGCTACCCTGTGCCTAGTCTCAGGCAGTCCACTCTTGGATCCCTGTCTCCCAACACGGACACCATGCATGGAATTCAAGGCCTCAAGCAGTGCCTGGAAGCTGCTGCAAGCAGCCCTGCAGCATCACTCACAGCCATGCCAGCCCCTGCGGGGGCACGGAGCAGCAGCGAGGGGGCGAGGGAGCGAGGGAGTGACGGAGTGAGGCAGCTCCTCCTCGCCGAGGGGCCGTACCTGTGTATCCGGGCACACAGAGGGGCAGAGGGGCCGTACCTGTGTATCCGGGCACACAGAGGGGCAGAGGGGCCGTACCTGTGTATCCGGGCACACAGAGGGAGGAGCTGTACCTGTGTATCCGGGCACACAGTGGCACTCATAGTGGTCCATGTGGTTGAGGCAGGTGCCGTTGTTGCGGCAGGGCCGGGACGCGCACTCGTCGATGTCGATCTCGCAGTTGGAGCCCTGGAAGCCGGGCACACAGAAGCAGCTGTACTCGCCCGCGCTGTCCCTGCAGATGGCCCCGTTCCGGCACGGCCCCGACGCGCACTCGTCGATGTCGTCCCCGCACGTGGCCCCGCTGAAGCCGGGCCGGCAGAGGCAGCGGTAGCCGCCCGCAGCCTCCACACACGTGCCGTTGTTGAGGCAGGGCTGGCTGGAGCACACGGAGCTTTCTGCCCGGCAGCCTTCCCCACCCGGGCCCAGCTGGCATCTGCAGGTGTATCCTGTTGGTGTCTCGACACATTCAAACCGCTCTGTGCAAGGGCTGCTCTCACACTCCTCCACACCGGCACAGGCAGTGCCTGCAGAGCCAGCTGAACACACGCATTCGTATTCCAGGAGTCCTGGAGTCGGGGTGCAGGTCATGTGGGCAGGACACTCATGTTCAATGCAAGCATCGTAGAGGAGTTCACAATTTATGCCCATGTAGGCTACAGGCTCCACAGGGCAGATGCACTGGTAACCCACTTCCAAATCCTTACAGCTCCCCCCGTTCTCACACGGGGACGAGGAACAGCCACTGTCATTTTCAGAGTATGAAGTTCCTGATGAGAAAAGATACTTTTTGTTAGTCAGCATTTGTAGCTCTAAAGAAGAAAGTTCTGCCAATCCCTACAGATAGATTGGCGATTGCTCACCTAAATCCCACATTCCAAAGGGCTGTGCTAGCCAGGAGATGAGGATGATACTGGACAATCAAACATTTACTACAAAGAAGACAACAGCCCTTCATTTGGTGGCAATCAGGAATCTCTTGCCAAATTGGGTAACCAGGTACCAGATTTTTTAGGAGACACTCACAAACCAACTATTTTACATGTGCTTATTCATCCGTGAGTCACTTCGAGAGCAGTGACACATATCACCTTAAATCCATTCACAAGATTAACTTAGTGTAAAATTCCATGACCCCTTTCACTGGCAGGGCACAGCATTTGTGCCTGGAAATCCAGAGAGGCAGGATGAGTTCAGGTATTGGCTGAAGCTCTGTATGTCCCAGCTGCTCCTTCTGGGGACACAATTTTTTCTCAGCTAATCCAGAAGTGATTTGAAGATGCTCCCATAAATAACCCAAGGCAAACTCCAAATGGGGACATTTCACAGAGTCTCTGATTACATCAGGCAGCTCAGGTTGATAACCACTGACCCTGCCCTCTCCTCATGGTAGACATGTAAATTTACACAGCAGGACATTTTTAGCAGGGAAGAGCAGAGACTGCTGAGATCACTGTGCTGATGGCATTTTGGATCAGTACCTGCTGAGCCAAAACACCAGTCTAACAACCAGATACCAGGAACTAATGTTGAGACCAGATTCCCCTAAATGTGGGAGCATTTGGATGTGATCAGTTAATTCACACTGAGCACAATGCCTTGCTGTCCCCACAAAGGCAGTGTTTAAAAGGCTCTTGCCCCATTAAGCAACTCCACCATCCGGAAATGTGATGGGACGTGCCCACTGAACTGCAAATTGAGTTCATATCAATGAGATTATGTGGATACACGATACTAAAAAAGAAAAAAAAGCGCTCAACGTAGATATTTCAAAATGGAACAGAATGGAATAATAGGAGGAATCCTCATTTCTTTTCCAAGAAAAAATTTAAATTTACTTTATGAAACAAGGGGCAAATTGGGCAAAGGGCAGGACAACCCAGAGAACAGGAGATAAGTGCCTTTATGTTAGAATTAGGATATATGTCCTGGATTCAATGCCACAATTAAGCATTTCCCAAAAGACATAAACCAACCAAAAATAAAGGGACAAAGGCAGTGGAAACAGAGAACTCTGCCTTCCACAAAGGCAGCAGTCATTAGCACCTCATCCCACTGTGGCCTTCTGAGATCAGAGATTTTCATTCTGCTCAATTCCAAGATAAATCAGAGAGAAGCTGTGTGGTAGAGATATCCCAGCCTGATTCCTGCATAAGTGTTATGAAACATCCAAACTTGGAAGTAACTCTCCAAACAACTACATAGCAGATGTTTGGAAAATGTCTATGAAAAATGGTCTGAAAGCAGAGATAAAGCTCATGAAGGAGCAAATGGTATCTGAGAAATTGCTACTGGTGAGACAATCCAGACTCCCCTGGTGCTGGAAGTGAAGCCATGACTCGAAGCCTTTGGGCAAGCAGCTCTTCACCATCGGCTCCCGTTTCTGCTGCCCTCTCTATGTAGCTGTGGCCCTGATAGTGACAGGCCTCAGTGTCTGTAAACCCCACAAAGCTGCAGCTGGACAGAGGGCAGGATCCCAAATCCCTGCAGCTCCCTCAGCCCTCCCTGCTCCACGAGGAATGTTGCTTTACCCTGCCATGCTCCATGCCTGCCAGGATCACACACCTCAGCATGGCTCCCCAGCTGACCTCCACGTCCTGCCACCGGTGCCAGCATCATCCTGGCCCGGTCTTGGTCACGTTTGCCTTGCTCTGGTGCATCTTATTTATTACCCCCAGTAGTTCATCTGTGTCAGTGGTGCTCTATCAACTCTGCCCCATCAGCTCCTCAGTCCCTTTGTACCTGAAGGTACAAAGGCACCAACTTCAGGGCCTGAAAGGGATTTATAGGAGACTTTGGTTTACAAAAGGCTGCCCCTGCCCTGACCTCCCCCAAATTCCTCCCACCAAAGACTGTAGTGTTTCTAAGTCTTCTTTTAAGAGGTGGTGCTGCTGGGGGAGGGAGGGTGCTCAGGGATTTAGGCAGCCCTTTCTCTTCCCAGCATCATCTCCATGGCCCACCCCTCCCTTCCCCTCTCATGTGATGCTGGGGAGAGCTGCTGAGCCCTGCACTGTCCAGCAATCCCATTATTCTGCCATCAACCCTTTTATTCTCAGATTCCCAGTCAGGCAGAAAACAAGGATGACGGAATCTGCCTGGAATCTCTGTGGCAATTAAGAGTGGAAGCCCAGGAAACTATTCGTAAAAGAGCTTTACTAGGCAGGAGATGTGAGCCTTTGTAGGCTTAATGAGTAACCGGCCCCAGCCTGCACTTCCCAGAGGCCAGGAGCACAGCTCGGGACAAAAAAGGAGCAGAGCCTGCTGCCTGTTGGGAAGGAGCTGCAGCACACTCCATCTGCAAAGAAATTCCCATTTGCACAGAATCCCCAGGCACTGCTGGCACAGCCAGGCTGAGTCACTGCCAAGGCTCATGCATGGCTTTCTGCTTCATGAGAAGAGCACGGGCAAAATGCTTTTGCAAATAAAGCTGAACATCAAAGCCCTTTGCTATTTCCTGCCTTCCCCAAAGTTCTTTCACAACAGACACACCTTTTTATACCTCCTCTGGTTTGGTCCATCATACAGCTCAACTACAGACAACACAAAGCTTCACTAAGAAGTGCAAAGGCTTTCTTGGCTACCAAAGACAGCAGTGAAGGAACAGGAACAGCTCTGGTCTGCTCAAAACTCGCTGTGACCATGAATAGCAGCACTGGTTAATATATGTACTTCAGCAGGACAGCATTTTGGAGGAAAATGTTCCTTTTCTGGAACAGATATCCTGAAGTAACACAGCACTGCTTACAGGGAGCAGGCTGAGGACACTGCAGTGGAAATCACAAGAAGTGAAAATTATCTAAATAACTGTGAATTATTCTGTGACTGCAGCTGGCAGAAAATCCCCACGTGTTTGACTGACTCAGTGGAGGCTTCAGGCACACAAACAGCACCAACCCCAAATTGTATCACACACTCCCCTGTATCCAGCACACCTGTACTAATAAGGAATATTTCCCAAGGACATGTCCCTGTGTGAATGTATTCTAGCCCTAATACTCCTTCCATGGCTGTGCTGAACATCTGGCTTGACAAAGAGCACATCTGATGTTTTTAGTTCTGATTTTGCTCTTTTCAACCATCAGTCCTAGGGAATACACTTACTGCTCTCAGTTTTGGAATAGATTAATATATGAATGTGAATAGCACATGAATATGCAAGGAACACTAATAAGAAAAATGAATAAATTAGCTTTTCCTGCTGCACAATATAAGAATAATGAAAACATGTACTCCAGACTATGCTGCTTCATGAACACTGTAAAAATCAGGTCAAGGAGATCACTGAATGACAAGAGTTTATATAGTTTTTCACCAAAGTAGTTGTTGCTGAATTAACAATGGCACTCAGAAGTTTTCCTTTATGTTTCACAAGAAAAATAGAAATTAATGATATTTGTAAGGAAAAAAACATTACAAGTGTATTACAGTCATACCATCCTGCAAGCCTACACTGAATTGAAACTGGAGGAGACCACAGCTCCTTTGAAGAACAGTTCCAGGCATTTAGGGGTGGATTAGGAGGAACTTCAAAGGCTACCAGAGTCCCATATAAAGCATTCATTGAGCTCTGTCAGGACAGGGCTGGTTTTACACTTTAAAGGTAGCTGACAAAGATTTTCCCCAAACGATGAGGTTTGTGACCTCTTGTAACACTTTAAGGCAAACAAGCTGCATTACCAGGCTCTGTTTGAATGATCTTATACTTTATACCTGAACTATGTCAACTTGTCAAAGTTGCTACAGTGAGTTTTTTGACCACAAAAAAACCCAGAAATTAGTAAGAAGTTAGGCAATTACTTCTGTGATTTGAAATGCTGCTTTAGCATTACTCCCTGGCTTCTATTTTGGGGGTTTGCTTTTCACAAGTTTGTTTTCTCAAAGTCTTGAGTAACTTTGATAGAGGATGGATGCTGTCAATCTGCAGACACTTCTGACCTTGTGGAAGCTGCTCAGTGTTGAATTGATAACTACCTTAAAGGTGTCTTAATGATCACTTAAAATTCCAGCAGGGAAGAGGCAACATTCTCAGCTCACAGTTTCCTTTGTACTGAAGAACAGAAAAAAAACCCACGCAGAGGCAGTGGTACCTACTGGAAATCCCCATCCCATAATACCCTTTCATGCACATGCCCTGCACCGGGTGAAAAATGAAAATATACCATAATCTCTGCACAATTTGTGCAAAATGGTCATAACCACAGCCACAGCTCCCAGAAGAGTCAGGCTGCCAGAATGTTATTTCCTGGCCTAGCAAAAACTGAATGTGAGCTTGGACAAGCCAGATCCACCTCAAGTGGAAAGAAGCTCCCTTCAGATATTTTTCACCTGTCCTACTCACTACAACAACTTAAAAAAAAAAAACAATTTACAACCAAGAGGTGAGAACAGCAGGATTCCCAGAGCACCACAACAATAAGGGAGCTTGAGGGATATCCAATTTCCAAAAGCACCACTGGTCAAACCCCAGCCTGGGGCAATTCTCACCAGTCAGGCTGTGCTCCTGCTGCTCATCCCAGCACACCTCCCACTGGAGAAAGATCCTGAGGCCAAGGGTAGAAAGGCAGAGATCCCTTCCACCAGAAGGGATTCAGAGCAACACAAATACTAAATAAACTCTGAATAAAGGAATGGAGAGTTAGGTCTCCATGACAACAGGGAGGCATGTGCTTATATTAGTAAATCCCTGCTGACCTCTGCTGATCTTTCCCTATCCTGGTCAGTGTAAAGGATTAGTGAAAGGGGACACACTTTGGCCTGTTCCCAGGATCCACACAAGCAGAAAGGGAAATGGACAGGCTTGAAAAGGGGCTTTCATATTCACCCTCTCTCTTGCCCACCCCTGCTCACTTTGGAAGGACAGCTGTGGAGGGGAATGGCAGGATAAAGCCAAATCCTTCTTCTGAAAGCACCTTCCACATACCTGTTCAGGGAGGGTACAAGGCCTCTTCGGGTGGCTTCACACATCCCTAGGGCTTTACAAGCCCCATTCCTTTCTTGACACACAGAGACTAAAACCTTTCTATCCAGACCAGGACTAAGCATCTGCTCTAAGTAATACCAGCACCAGAAAACACGGCCTGAAACTCTCTGGGACTGCTGACGAGTTCATGAAGTGATAATAACTGGCAGTGATTTCACCTAGCCCAAAATATTCCATAACCTGTATTCCCTGTCTGGTTTAACACAGTAGTGGCACTTGTCACAGCTGCTTTAACAGCAGGCTTTCCTATTCTTTAGCTGCAGAAAAGGGGATGTGGGAATGGGAAACCCTTCAAAATAACAATGTTTGATCACAATTACTAAGTCCCTGTGCTGTAGCAGCTTCCCACCACCCACCTCTGCTGGAGCAATTTGGTGACTCTGGGGCCCAGAGTCAAATTCGTCCTTCCCATTTTTTAAAAGGGAAAAAGGAATCTGAGATATAACTGCTGGTTGAAATTAAACATTATTGTTACTGTCTCAGGTTATCAGCTTATAAAATCTGATAATTTATGTGAAGCAGGACATGGCACTATGACCAAAAAAACCCAAACCCTGAAAATAAAGATTAGCTAATCCAAAAGCAGTGTTGGCAATCAGCAGGCAGGACTTCTAAGACAATTCTGAATAAATGACCTGACAAAATGCCAGGGATCCCAGCAATGCCAAGAGTGTCTTTTGGAAAAGTCAGTTTTAAAAAGAGCCTCACTATTCATGACTTGGATGTCTCTTGAAGAGTTTTGGTGGGTTAAACACACAAGCCCAGTGTCTCAGCCAAATACCACCTTGGATACCAACTTTAAGATACCTCCTCACGTCCCTGCACACAGGCCAGATTACAGTTTTACCCAGACTGCTTCTGACATTGTTTCTCTTTGCTACTGGAGACCAACAAATTCCACACCACTTTTACACATGAGGTTTTTGGTGTGACAGTGTTTTTCATGCCAGATATATGTACACAGTCTAGTGGTGTGAAATATTTATATAGAATTTACAAAGGCCTAGACCTAGACTTTCATTCATTCATTCGGGCATGAGAAGTGTGGCTCAGTTTCTTCTTGTGAAATATGCAGAATATTTACCCCCTCAAAGAAAGAGGATGGTGATTCCTGGCTCTCTGCCCCCCAGCTTGCCCAGTGAATTGCTAAAAGGTGCCAAACAGTGGGCACCAATCCACGGGGCCCAGCAGTGCCAACACCATGGCCCAAGGCATTAACAGCATTAGGCAGAAATGCCACTTCAGGGAATTGAACTCACTCTTACAACACAACAAGAAGCCAGCTAGCTTGTGTTCATTATTTGCTCACTGTTTCACTGCAGATTTGAAGGTGCAACTCCTATTATCATGCTTCTAGAACTGGGAGGAAGACAGGAGCTATGAATCCATGGTTTATGACAGCATTGAATATATTGCCACAGTAACTCTTTGATCTCCTGTGCTAGGATACCCCAGTATTTTCCCTTAATCAACACTCCTCCAAGCTGACCTTCATGTTTCAGTATCCTCTGATCTCTCAGCCATTTCCACAGATCAAACACTGGGACAGGGGCTTTCCTGTGTATTCAGTTCACCAGAGTGAGTCACAGGCTTTAATTTCCAATTCTTATTTAAATATGCTGACAATAAACAAAACAGCTGGAAAGATTGGTTTTGTTTGTTCCCCAGTTCTGAAGTAAGCCTTAAACTGTCCCTGTGTCCGAGCTAATCTCAAGAGCTGGCATTAGAGCTGATAGCAAAAAAGGTTTGTCTTGCACATGCTCTCCCTCAGCAGGCGTCCACAGCATCTTCCAGGCCAAAGGTATGTGAATCCCTGTGCCTGCTGATGGCTGGAGCTGTGGGAACAGAAGTGAGACACTCCTTCTGCCCTCCACAGTCTCTTTTAAAGACAAGGAATCAGCTGGGAGCTATTCTATTGTGTTCCCATTACACAGGCAGAAGCAGTAAAAGGGGAGTCACAGGCACAGCCTGCACATTGCCCCTCTGGGGTTTCTTTTAAACAACTGGAGATAGTGAGGATCTGCCTGCAGGATGTTCTGATGGGTACAAATTGCACCAGACCAACTGCATTCTCAGAATTTCCACAAAAATTTTGAACAAGTAGCTTAGGCACTCTCTGCTTCAAAGGCATTTAGACTCAGTCAATTAGATATAAAAAAAGGAATTATATGGTTTATAAAAGCAAGAAAAGACGTTTCTTTATGGCCTTAAAAACCTACAAGTGCTACTTAAATAGTACCAGTCACTCCAGTTTAAATCTGACAGAACTTCCCTTACAAAATAGGAGTAGCTGGAAACACTATGAAAATCAGCACTTCCCTTGAGCTCTGCTGGCTGCAGCAAGAAGATTCATCCACCTGCACTCAGAAGAACTCCACCTTCTCACTAAATCAGTGCTCCAGAGCAGAGCTTCTCCAGGAGTGAAAGGCCACAAGTGCAGTGGCACAAACGCTCTGAGCCAGGGCCTGGCCTGGCAGCCACACGGGGAGATCCATCCATGCAACCCGCCTTGCCTCTGCCCAGCACAAAGCCACCATAATTGCTTCACACTCCAAACCAGTAGCTATGGTTACTAGATACAAAAGACAGTCCTGCTGCTTCCCTGTGGCCAGAGGAATTCCAGGCACTTGGAGCAAACACACCAGACAAAGAAGTTGGTACAATGAAGAGAAAGAAAGAAAGAGAAAAAAAACCTACAAAAATCACAATATATTTTGACTTTCACATTCGTGGTCTGAGATGGTCAGAGGAACAGAAATCTTGAGAGGCTTTAGAAGGAAAAAAAAAAGATTGTTGGGGAGCCAGAGGAAAAGCTGAAAACTTTCTCCAAATCTCAAAAATTACATAAACATCACCTACTAATGCAAGAAAATGCCGAGTGCCGTGTTCAGCAGACACAAGCAGAGCAAAGGCTCTGACTCTATTTTCTCAATGTTCTCCACATTTCACATCCATTTCTTCATGTCATGGATCATAGCTGTACTTGCTCAGTGGAAACCAAAGCTGACTTGCACCGACAGGTAACTGGCCTGGCAGTGCCGAGGGCAGGGCAAGGAGACCAGTTCAATCCCAATCATACTTTCCAGTAAAAGGCTGGACGTGTTCCTGACATGACCTTATAATCCCCAGATGACTAAAACAGATGTCTAGGCCCAGCAGATCTCTAGGCACCTATTCCAGAAGAAACAGAGATTCCTGTTTTTCAGGGAATGTAAGATATTGTAAACAAGGGTGTCAACGGAGCCCAAAGAAATGGTCTTTGGAACTTGGAGAATTCCAGTGCACTCAAGTAGATTCTTTGGCTATAAAATAAGTTTTCAGTGTGGAAAAACAAAACAAACAAAACAACCCCCCACTAGTGTGATAGACTCTTTTGTTACCTCATTGCTTCTTGCACTTTAAGGATGGACCTGCTTTTTTCAAAATTTCTAAGTGGAGACACTCCCATCCTGTGATCTCCCTCCACATTTTGTACCAGATGTATCTGGCACTACACTCCCCTGAGTACCATCCTCTTGCACCCAGATGTATTTCCAGAGCATATAGGATGGAAATAAAGGTCTGTGTTTCTTCTATGTGGGCACAACCAAAATATTCAGATCTTTCCAATGGAGAAAATGGTTACTATGATAGCTGAATACTTAATTACATGAATACTTAATTACTTTTAGTTCTTGTGAATAAACGCATACATACATGTGCACAGGGAGAAAGATGGAAAGAGACAAGAAATAAATAGAGGGAAAAACATGTCTAGAATGAAACGCCTATTTATCTTCCAGACAAAAGTTTTCAAGCTATAAATCTAACTGTAAAGATGCCAGTTTGTTCAATATAAGGGAGGTCACAGATTTGATACCAAATTACTGCATAGTAGCTGGGTAAGAATCATGCACAGAAGACAAAAACTTACCCCAAAACAAGAGGAAAAGTGGCAGCAGGAGAGCAGCATTGTACGACCTGGAGGTAGTTTTCTTTAATTCCATGACAAGTGTAAGAGTGGCCGTTCTAAAGCCCTCCGGGGAGAGACAGGAGCTGGAGCCCAGCAAGCCCCTCCTGTGGCCACATCACGGTGCGGGGCGGGCTCTCCTCTCGTCTCCCCTGCTCTCCCCAGGCCGGCCGCTCGCCCCGCGCTGCCCGGGCCGCAGCAGCACCGAGCCCGCGGACAGAGCCCCGCAGCCCGCGCTGGGAGCGCCGGCAAAGCCTGCCTGGATCGCGCGGAGCGGACTGCGTGCGTGTGTGTGTGTCTGTGTGCGTGTGTGAGTGTCTGTGTGCGTGTGTGTGTGTCTGTCTGTGTGTCTGTCTGTATCTATGTGTCTGTGTGTGTGTGTGTCTATATGTCTGTATGTGTGTCTGTGTGTGTGTGTCTGTGTGTGTGTCTATGTGTCTGTCTGTCTGTATGTCTGCCTGTGTGTGTCTGTGTGTCTGTGTGTGCCCTGCACCGCGCCCAGCGCCTGCCAGCAGCGGGGCCGGGCTCTCTGCCCCTCCCAGTGCCCAAAACACACCTGGGGTGCGCCCCAGGGCCGGGACAGCGCCCACATCTGCTTCGGCACCGAGGCTCTTTGGAGGAGGCAGGGCTCTGTATCGGTTCATATTTACAAACTCCACTAGGATCGAAGAGTTCGCTGAGACAAACTGCTTTGTTCAAAGAGAAATAAGACAAAAGCACTCTATTAACCCCCAAAAACAGAGTTAGTCCACATTAGTCTTTACTGTTGTCTCAGGATGAGGTGGGTGATCCCACAGGAAGGTGAACACACAAAATGTACGGGAACCTCTTCCAAACTGAGGAACAGTTACAGAGATCAACAGAGGTGCACAACACAGGCACCAAATCACACCACCTTTAGATACATGGATTCAGTTTTAGAAGTGGAAAAAGTTACCAGTGTGCATTGTTTAATGACAGTAACTGGAAAAAGCCCACATGCAGCCGAGACCTGCTAAGTCTCTCTAAATCCCCATCACAATTGGATTAAACTAACTGTAATGAGAATTAAGTACATTGCCTCACCCTTCACTAACAACTAAAAATAGAACACAGGTAAGATGCCAGACAAATTCCTAGTTTAAACAAGAAATATGCAAGATAGCAAGGAATTGGTGCAAACAAACCTAGGCTGCAGGTGAAGAAAACAGAAGCAATGTTATAGCGAGTAATCTGCATTATCCCAGCAGCCTTGCAGGGCAGCAGAGGCTGGTGGGATTTGTGCATGGAAATGGAATAGTTTCTGCAGGGCTTTTACCTTTGGTGCAGAAGCAGAACAGCCACAGCAAGAGCCTTTCCACCACCCAGACTCTGCAGCTCAGGAACAAATGGTTCATCTCACTGTCCTGCCTTGGAATGCCCCAAAGATGATATATCATGTGTTATCAACCTTATCTGGACCACCCTGCCCCCTCTTTCATCTCTGGTGTCCTCAGTCTGTTTTCTCAAGATCAGCCTCAGTATTAGTTTCTTGCCAGAACCACAACCATCTGGAACTCATTTCTGTCTCCTTACACTCTGGTTTTGCTCACAAGGGACATAACCAAACAGTGACGTTTGCAGAATCTTTCTGCTCACAATATTTTTGCTTCACCTGTGTGAATTATGCTTTCAACAATCCACCTTTTCCAAATTCCAAATTCCAAATCCAGCAAATACACATGAATCACTGCACAATTAGCATGGCAACAAAGCACCATCCTTAGCCAGGCACTGCTGTAAATCGAGTAGTGCAACATTCACACCACCTGGAAAACACACCAAATCCATGGTAATTGATGGCTTCTAGAACTACCTGAAGGACCTGCTCAGCTCCCGTGAAACACAGTGAGTATGACAAACCCTCACACACAGAAAATGGAGGTTGTCCCACAGAGGCTGAGCTCTTGTTCAGCCCTGCTGTTCCTGCTGTGATGTGTGGCCTGTCACAGCCCAAACCCTGGACAGAGCCATGGAACAGTCTGGCACACTAGCCAGACAGAAGGAAAACACACCCAACATCCTTATAATAATCAAAATACCTTAATCCATTTTCTACATGTGAGGACTTTAGAATTTAATTTTACCAATGTTCATGGTTGTAATTTTATGAGATCTTGCCAGCATAAACAGCAAACCATTCCTGTGCTGGACCCCTGGGCATACAAACACCAATGTGGGTATTAACCAGCTTAGTCCAATTAAAGGACCCCAATGCAATTCTGTTAAGGCCCTGATTTGTTAGGCTTGACTACATTTCCAAAGGAGCACAATTGGGTGGATTTGTTATCTAAAGCATAAGCTCCAAGTCCTTAGTCATCCTTGCTAAAGCCTTCCCAAACTGGTCATGGTTTGTGCTACCTTTGCATTGCTGCCGTCCAACGTCACCATAATCTGCTCTTTAACATAGCATTAAAACTAGAGCCAAAGGACACAGCTGCTTTCCCTGGTGTAACACTCATTATGAGAGATTTAAGGACAGCATAACAGCAAGGCTTCTATTCTCAGCCTGAAGCAGGAACCTTCACAAGCCGGAAATGCATGCCATGGAAATGGGGCAGCAGTGGGCAAGCTGGATTAGAGGGAAAAGGAGAAAGTAGGTCTGGGATACACAGCAGAACCTTCCTGTCCACTTATTCTGTATATATTATATATATATATATATATTCTTATTTATACATATCTGTACACTTGTCACAAAACAATCACATACATCTTTCTACAAAAAGTTCAGAGAGAACCATACATCAAAGTACCTCGGTGAAAGTTTGCTTTTCATCCAAAGAACAATGTACACTTGCATGAGTTTCACAATCTTTCCTCACTCAGGGCTTAAAATAATCCTAATACTGCAGATTGGATACTGGAGACGTGTGACAGGCCAGCAAATATCAATGCTACAAATAAAGCCATTCCTCTCTCCTGTCACATGCACGCTGGAACTGCCCCAGAGGACAGAGCCTCACCTTCCCTCCTCACTGTCCTGGAACCACTGGGTACAAATCTGTTTTACTGAATTGAACAGTGGAAGCCAACAGCATCAGTCATGATTTTTTTCCCAACTTTGGGAGTTAGGCACAACATTACACAAAGCAGTCCATACTAACAGTGGCTGCAGGGTTGGGAAGCTGAGTCAGTAAAGAAAACACCTTGCAGTTTCACTCAAAAACTGTGCCAAACCTTACTGCTTCCATACACTCTCCTGTTTCCTGACACTGCTGAAAAGTGCCAGGAATATTTTTAAGAACTTCAAGTTTTGGAATTTCAAGCCTCCAGACTCACAGGCCAATTCTGTACACTGAAATGTTTAAATACAATTTGGTGCTGTAACGCCCAAGGATTCCCCAGAGTCCAGTCTCTTACTGGAAATTGGCTCTCTCCTGCTGCCCTGAACAGGCACTGTCCCCACTCTCCTATCAGCCCACTAGATGTCCCTTCTGCACTGCCAAAGTCACCGAAGGCCTCCGTGTGAAAACAGGAGAGCTGGAAAGAAATGAATGTTACAGCAGCACTGGGGAACCAGAGCAACTGGACACATCCTGAACTGCTGCAGGACCTATTGCAACATCCCCACAGCAGAGCAGCCAAGGCAGAGTTTGGGCTCTGAGCCAGAACTTTAAAGCTGCTATTAAAACCTGGCAAAATCACACAAAATCTCCAGTCTTGAGACATCCTAATTGCATTTTTTAGACACAATAACTTTCATTTCCTATCATTGCTAATCAGAACTGCTGGCAAGCAAATCATGCTGCCTGATAAACACCAGAGTCCTGAGCCTGTGGCACTGGTCAGTCGTGGGCAGTGGCAGTGGATAAAGTGGGCTGCCAAGGCACAGCAGGAGGGTTGATGTCTGGGCACTGGTGAGCAGAGCTCTGGCACAGCCTCACTTCCCCATCAATTTCAGATAGAATTGCAGTGCTGAGGAAGAGGAGGGGGGCAGTCCAGAGGACAAGGGAAGAACGATCATGTTTGCCTGAGGTCTGAAATCCCCTCCTCTGCCTTGCACTGGCTGCTTGTTCAGAGATCTTCATGACAGGCCTCATCCCAAAAACCAGCAAATTGTAAGGACCATAACAAAGATGTCCAGCATGTGCACATCAGCCAGGCCTTCCTCTCCAACAGATAAACATTCAAACACACACAGGCAAGGCTGTGGTGAAGACAGGGCCACACTCCTGCTAAGTTATCTCTGGAGGAAGTCACAGAAGTCAGGTTCTGACCAGGGATGTACCCTTTGATCTACGTGAGACTCTGCTGGACTGCAGGTCAACTTCACGCCCTTTGATCCTCTTCCCTGCTTCCAGCTGCCTGCTGGAGGTGAATCCCTTCCGAGGGGCCTCTCTGGCAGATGGGAAGATGAGAATGTTGATCACCTAACAGGAGGCAGCCAAAATGCTGTAAAGAGGGTCTCAGGCAAGATTTTCTGCAGTAAAATGTTATAGCAGGAAGGATGTGCCCAATACATGGCCAGGATCTGAGGGTGTTTTGGAGGCGTGTTGACTATTGAGAGCCCTTTTTGCTGCTGGTTTTGTCACAAACGATCCAAGGCGTTTGTGAACAGCTGCTTCCAGCGGCTCAGGGAGGCTCGGGCGCCGCTGGAGGGCAGGTCTGTGCTGCCAGCCCCAAAGCAGCCTGCAGAGGTTGCATTGGCAGGGTTTGCTGCAGAGCTCCGCATTGCCAGAGCCCTGGAGCCAGCCTGGGATCAGGGAAAACCAAAGGGAACGACACTGAGAGCAGGAGGGAGGGAGGGAGGCTGCCCTGCAGTACAGCCCGGCTGAAGGAACCTCCTCCTGCTCAAGTTTGGATTCCAGAAAGGCCAAACAGGTGACTGAGAGAACGGGGAATTTTGGAAAACAAACACATTCACGTGCACTGTGTGAGCTGTGAGCTCTGAAGATGAGTCCTGTCTGACATTTATCTCTGCCATGGAAATGACACCTTTGGATTCTGCATAAAATCAGCAAGCATTTCCTCATTTTCCTTCCAGCTGCTGTCTCTGCTTTCCCTCACAGACTTCACTAAAGTCTGCTCAGTAATGAGGCCTCTGGGAAAACTGGACATTGTCACCACAGGAGGTGCAGAAAGTAAAATGGATGTAGATCACAAATGTGCCAAATG